AAAGAAATCTCTCCTGGCATCTCATACATTTTAAGAATAATTTTTAAAAATATCTTGCATAAAGAAAACTGACAAGACAATAAGCAGCTACAGTAATTTTTTTTAACATTGACAACTAAGCAGATGATTAATCAATTTGAAAATAATGCTAAAAAATGTTGCCAAGATTACACAAAATTGTTCCAAGCCATCTCCTATGCTTTTGCCCGTTACTTTATGTTGCAGTATGAAGTCCACGTAACTATTTTTCCTAGAATTCCTACAAAAACATTGTATGGCATGTCTGGGGAATATGCATGACAGAACAAGACCTTGAAGAAAACATAATACTAACAGAAACTGAGGCAGCAAACCAGTATCCATTCCAGTATACAGTCAGAGCTGTTTGATTGCCAAAATCCAACAATAGGTAATAATGACTTTTCTGTTACTAGATTTTGAAATTCATGCCTTTGAAATTGTACTTCAGATGGGACTTGAGTAGCAGATATTAGAAATTAATCAAAGTTCTTTGGAATATCTGTCCTCCAACTCTTCAAAATCTCAGAGTAGAAGGCTTCCTAGGTTCCCTACATGTGAGAGCGATTAGTCAGGTAAGAGGTAGACAGAACTGGTGCTTGGTCTGGAACCCAAAGCCTGTCTCTTGCTCACGCACTCTATTGTCTCATGTTCAGAATTCATCTCTGGATGCCCTCTTATTTTCTTGCACATTGGGCCAGCTTTTAAAAAGGATGCCATAGATTTATGTGGTAACTTTGTTAGTACTACAATTTTACACTTTCATTTGCCATACAGGGGCTTTAACTTACAAATCTTGAGAACGTGCAGTGTCTGGACTTACTAATTTGTGCGCTGTGTATTATATATTTACAGCAAAGAATGTAAATCTTCTTATGTAACTAAAAATGTACCTTAATGTCAGTTAAGAGATTAATTTCTTTTTATATTTTGGCTACCTGTTTTACATCACAAACATAAGTACCTGAAACAATTTAAAATCAGTATAAGAGCAGATAACTGTAATAAATTACAGTTGCAGAACTTTCTTTTATGTCAAATAAAATGCTTTTGCAATTTATTGCTGTTTTTTAATAGACTGCATCAATCAATCAAATATAAAAATAATTCAAACTTGATATTTGTACAATGAAATCTCATAAAGAACTGAAGGATTCCATACATCTTTACTGCAAGCCACATGTTAGGACTACTGAATATAAGGTCATGTATGCACCAAGAACACAAACTCTCTCATTCTCTGTACAGAAGAGAGACTTCAAGTGACAGAATTTAAATTAATAATTGGTATTAGGCATGGTACTTTTTATGGAAAACCCACAGTAATGAAAAAATCATGATCCTTGTTAAATCATTGCCCATTGGCAACCCACATACAACACTTCTAACAAACATAAACCAGAGAGAGGGTCAATCACAGAGTAAATTGTGTCAGATGGAAAGCTCTTTAATGCAACAATAACAAAAATGCTGCTGATTCCAAAATAAGTAACATGTAAGACTTAGTAACATCTTCATTAAGCACTCACAGTATGCCAAATAGCCATATTAATTTTGCTATCCATAGATCATTTTTTTATATAACTGGAATACTTTACTCAATACTGTCCTGCGTTATAGACCTCAGGCTCCAAGAATATTTTGAAACTTAGGACTGGAGATGAACATGTGGAATCAGCTAGTCTTTTATCCTTTTCCAAAGCTAGAGGAGTTTGAAAATTTTTAAACATAAAATATGTGGTAATGCAGATTTCATAATATTTTATGGTAATCTATTTTACAATTTAACCAGCATAAAGTTTTCCCTGTATTCCACTTTAACCTTTCTTGTGACCTAATCCCATTACTTCTTCCTCAACCAGAACTGGGGCGTGAGGGAAGGCACTTTAACATCATTCTCTCTTTTCAGCTTCTTTTGCATATTTTAAACCTGTTATTATGCCTTCCTCTTTTCTCTGTCCTTCTTTTTAGGTTTGTCAGATCTACCAAGGCTGCATCATATCAGGATGCAAAGTGAATCCTTAGATTTATTTTCAAGCTCTTGAAATATCAGCAATTATAGTGAATGAAAATCCGGAAAAAGTCCTTTTTTTTCATCCATTCCTTAATCATAATTATTCAAAACTTTCTGAAATGTGAATTATAACTTTTTCCTATAGCCACTGTTACTCATCCCATAACAATTTGATAGCATAACATTATACAATACCACTACGAATGCATCAGTTACCTGATGACTGGTCTAAAGGTGTCATTATTCCTAGAGCAGAATAAGGAAAACAGTTATATTTGTACAGTTTTCTATTCCTGGACAAAGGACAGAACAGAATTGACCAGTCAGGGGTGGATAGTGAGCTTCTTTTACAGTTTTTTGAATGACATCCTAGAAGAATAAACAGGATTTAGGATTTAGAGTTAACAAAATGAAAAGTTTTCCAAGGGCTGAAAGACATGCTATATATCTCCTTCTCCTTCCTTTCAAGATCATCAGGGACCAAAGGAACAACAAAGCCTAATCCAGCCTAGAAAATAAAAGGAAGCTATTCTTGTAAATCTTTTTCATCTATATCACCAATAGTCAGACTAAGCTGGGAGGTCAGATTTTACCTATAAGTACACAGATCACAACAGCAGAATACATAATGTGTACTGAATACAAAGTACTTTTGTCAGGACACTGGGAAAAAGAATATTTTGTGTCATGAGAATAATTCTTAGTTTTCCTCCTAGTTTATAACAGTTTGCCTCTCAAACGCAGAGATCAAGTACATCTTTGTCAGCATCAACTGCTCTCCAATTCATAACCAAGCTACACCTTTGCAACTATAGCAACTTGTCATGTGAAGAATATTATGGAATTACAGACGTACTTTAAGAGTTACAGTCACTATGTTGTCATTCCTTAAAAAAGTTTTAAATACGGATCCTCACAGAAATAACTCAGGAGCTCCACAGAAAAAAATGCACCACATGCTCAAACACCCTCATAGAGAAGGATGAGTTTTAGTAGAAAAGAAATGTTGTTAGGGTCCTGCCAGAAACTCAGCAGATGAAAGTGACACAACACAGAACTATGAGAATGACTGGTTTTGTTCAGTTCTTCATGATTTTTTTTTTCCTTTTATTAGCTATTCCATAATATTTCCTGTCTCATTTTCTAATTATTTCAGTCACACTTATAAGTTCAGCTTCTGACTGGGTTGCCCTTTCTTCCACTCATATATTTTCCTCATGGTTTTACTTTAATTATGGTTTTAATTTGCAGTTGTTTTCATTTTTTTTTTTCTGTGTTACCAAAAGCATTACCAGAATGAAGGAGGAAAAAAAAATAGAACAATCTCTCTTCTTCTTCATATTTGCACACTGCCTGATTTAAAATACAGTTCCAACATCCCCTAAAATACAAGTAAAATTGATTTGATTTATCTATGGATCACTAATATTTTTTTCCTGCAGAACTCCCTAGCCCATAGTTTGGGTACCTCTATCACAGAAACCAAATTCATGATACTGAAGAAAATCTAACAGTTCATAATGACCACATTCATCAAAATGTCTTAAAGACTTAAACAGATTTATGGACTCTGTACTACAAAGCACAATATACCAATGCAGATAAACCCTCAAAATAATTACATCTTTATTTTGTAAAGCATTCTTTAGTCTAAATATCTCCTGTTAAAATCATGTCTACCAATAAAAATATGTACTCTTACAGACTAAGGCTGAAAAAACAGATTGTAAAATTTATAATCTTACGGGTCTTATAAATTTATTTTGGCCATTATTACACTACACATAATTCATTGAAGGTGATGGAATGCTTATTTGGTTGATAGCTAATGTATCCCTGAAGAATAAAAGCTATATTAATATGTCATTTTGCCATAAAGGTGATACAGACAGCAAAAGAACATTTTGTCAACTTCAGGAAATAAGAGAACTATTAAGAATTATTTAAAGCATCATAAAGTGCCAGCAAAATGTGCAACTGTCAATAGGGGTAGACATTAATCTTTCCATCCCTTTGAACACACTTTCTACATATTGTGCCTGAGTTTACCAGATGTGCAGCTTAATGCATTGACTACTGCATGGTAAAGAACTGAGGAACTCTCTAATGAGAAGCAAAGGTCCAGTTAAGGAAACATCAATAATAGAGAAGAAAAACTCATGGGACAAAACTCTCTAGCACCGTCCTAGATTCAATTTCAACTACCTTAATGACTTTTCATATTGAATATACCCTTCCCCCATTTAGTTATACAGGAAGGAGTAACTGTCAACCTTAAAATCACCCGTGCAAGTAAAAAAGCAACCCTACAGCAACATACAAAACCCATATGGAGTATTTGGTTTCATTCTTTCTTTTACTTCAAAGAAAACCCTCCAACACAGCAGTTACACAACTAAATAGATGGAGTAGGTTAGGGTGCCTTACAATCCTCAGTGTATCAGGTTTTGATGTTTGAACTATACACAAGCAGGGCCTGAGGGTCTATTAAATGCATCATTTTTCCACTGGGATCACACCTTTATATAAACCAGTGCTATCAGACATTATGGTAATGAACATACTGCAGTTCATTTATAAGCACCTTCTCACTGTTTTTAATAGGACCGTTTACACAGAATGAAATTATGCCTCTCTGAAATGCCAGGATTTAAGGTGTTGCTCCCACAAGACAGTTGCTCTCTCCTCCTTTCCCTAACTGGGAGAGCATCTTTAAATTACAATCCTGTTCTTAGAGCATCCAGATCAAACAACAACTGCAAAACAATGATTTTGAATGCAAAGTTTCTCTTAATAATAGGAATCTCATTTTGAATCATTAATTTAGCTGATCAACCCATCTGTACTATGGAATAAACATTTAACCTTTAAAGAAAAGTTAATTTCATGTTACATTAAAAAAGTTAAACTCACATTACATAAGAAGTCATTTCAATTTTTTTTTTTTCCTCCCAGCAGAATGACTTACCAGTACATTGTCCTCCATTTGTGGGGTCCCCATAGTATCCTGGCATGCATGTTTCACATTGCTTTCCTGTCGTTAAGTTTTTACATTGATCACAGACATTACTGTTGACACAAGTGCTGTGGCCATTACACTGGCAAGCTAGAATATAATGTTAAAAAAAGCTATTATTAAATTGCTCTTGGGAACAAAATCATTCCTATGTGACTAGAAAATTGTAGTAGAACATAATTCTGAGGAATTTAATCTTGACTAATGACCAGCATATATATTTGTACTTGTGACATAGAATCTCTTTAAAACAGCATTGTGACAAGACATGAATTCACACAAAAGACCACAGAAGTTGACTATGTGGTGATGTGTGATTTTAAGCTGTTTGAGCAAGTATTTATTTCCATTATGACTGAATCCAGTCCTTATAGCTTTAAAATACTGTCTAGTCACTCAAAAAAAAAACTGTTAGAAGGCAGTAGGTCATCACATGAGACCAAATGAAAACCCCCTATACTTACCTGCAATCAGATGTGCAGCACTTGAAAGGCTACTGTGATAGAGAATATGAACAACTCACACACCAACTTACATCTACTGGAGAGAGGGAATGCAGAAAAAAACAGTTCTGATCCTCACATTAGCTTTGGCATACTAAGGGGTTTAAGGACATCATGATCACATCACACAGCTCCTGTTCCCCCTCACTGCAGTTGACTTTGACGAAAGTAAAAAAATGGCCTTCTATTGACAAAGTTTTAATGACTGACTTTAAAAGCATAAACTGCTTTTTGTCATATAAGTTTATAAATGACTGATCTTGCACACCACCTCCACTCCAGTGCTCCACGTTTTGGAGAAACTCAGAAAGTACTGACCGTTGGTGCAGCGAAATCACAATGTGAATTCTCCCAGAATCATTTATCCTGCAGCCACGACTCAGCTGAACAACCAAGAGATTTTTGAAGGATGACCTCTCTATAGAGTGGGACCTCAGAACTCACAGTGCTCAGTAAATTAGCAATCTGTCAATTACAGCAGCTTGTCAAACGTCAGACTATGTCAAACCTGTCGATCCTTTACTGGTGAAGGCTGTGTAGGACTTAGTTACCTCAATAAGATTTATTCTTTTTTTTTTTTTATTTGGATTTTTAATCAAAATGACAGGGTGACTGGTGTCTTGGCTAGAAAAAAAAGAAAGGCTTCTCACTGCATGACTCAAAAATTTTTAAAGCTGTTTTAGAATTAAGTAATTTAACATATTTACAGCCATTGCCAGGCTTGACTCATAAACTGTTAAACCTCCCAAATTTATAATTTCTTCCTTTTTCTGTAGCTACGCCTATGGAGTCTTGTAAACAAGTACCAAACATTTCTGTCCTGCTGGAACAGAACTTTTCTTACTGTCTTGACAAAATCTCTTTAGAAATTACAAGATTTATCCTTCCTAAGAATACTTGTTTTTCAGAACTTTGTGATGTCTTCCTCCAGGCAGTTTGCCATTCTGCAGTTTGTTGTCTTTCTCAGAAAAAGCTACACAAAACCATCATGAATAGCAGCTGCATTTTGGGTTTTGGCCATGTCTTACATGTTAAATTACTTAAAGCAAATGTTAAAACAAAAAATGCAGTTCAATAAATGAAAAGAAAAAAAGATAGGGTATTAAATGTGTGTTCCACACAAGTAAAGATTGCCTAATTAAGACAGTATCATAACAGAGGGAAAATGTTTTGTTCTCATGTTCTCTAGCCAGTGGGTCACCTATTTATAAATTTTCTATTCTTCCTAAAGTTTAATTTTGTATTTGTTAATTTTTGTGTTATTTAAAGGATAATGAAAGTAACCTTACTTAATTTTTTTATTTAGATTTTTAGTTTGCTGCAAGTCATAATATTATTTGGTCATGTATATTGGCTGCTAATCCATATATTTTGTTAAGGTGAAAATAAGAACCAATATAATCTACAACTGACATGGCGCATAATTTTAAAATATTATATATCGACTGATTTTCCTAAAAATATGTATGTCATTGAGAAAGTGTAATTAAAATAATAGTAATAAATAATAATAATAATGAAACTGTAATGATCATTTAAACAAGAACCACAAGTCATATTTTTAAGTCCTTTTTTAAATTATTTTAATGTACATCACTGGCAGCAACAGAGTAATTTTCCTCACACATAAAAATGTGATTTAACTAAATCTTTGGCGAGACTGCCCTGGAGACAAGCAATTTTATGGTAATTTGTTTTTGACCTCTGTGTTGAAATGGTTGGTGATGTTGACAATTGTTGATAATTATAGCTTTAAGAAAATGCTTAATATTAGGAAAATATATAAAAAGGATGTCTGCATTACAATCTGGATTTAGTGTAAAGATACTTCATTTAGTTTTAAACAAACTAGTTAGAATCAATTCATACTGCTACTCAAGAGGATAAATCTAGATTTTAAAGATAAATTTGGTCTCGCATTCTACCTAAACTGCTCTTATGAAAGGAAATGCCAACACTATTTTTTTCTGTATCATATTTGCCATTTTATTTATAATAATAGTTCAGTTAAAATACAACTCTGAATATTAAAAAGTAGTCATTATCAAAAGAAATACTATGACAGCTGCTTTGAGGACCGTAGACTTCAAAATGTCCAGTCACAAGAAGGAACATTTTTATACTACCTGTTGAATACTAGTTTTAAAATTTGAACAGACAGAAAATGAGAATGCACTTTAAAAACTTATCACCAACAGATTGCCCAGAGGCACTATAAAGACCATGGATATGAACTGCAAAGAAAACTAAGTGCATACATGAATGAACACAAATGGTTTAGCCAGCTATTCATCAATGTGCCAGAATAATCTTCAAATTACGTATTATCACCTATTTATGCAAACCACAAACTGTTCAGTAGGCTTATACAGGCTTAGGAGCAGCTCTGTCTTATTTCAGGTACATCACATGATTGCTCTGCTAAGAATAATAAACCGTATTATTATAACCCATTGCAGATAGTATTTTAAGAAAATGAAATCTAAAACTTGGGAACAAAACCTATGGCCTATACCAATTAAAATTAAATGTCATGCTGGTTAAAATTTTAGGTCTTCTGTAGGATCTGCCTTTTAAACTAATAAAACTAGTGGGTTTTTAAACTAAAGTGGAGCTTCGGTGAATTCTTGGTCAGAATATACAATGTGTACAGAATTTTATCCAAGAAGAAGAAATATTAAACAAATAAGGTGATGAAATCTTCTAACTCAAACATTTTAGACAAGCAATATATGTATCTATTATGACTTCACTGGTGCTAGATACTATGTATTGCAGTGAAAGTCGAACAGAGCACTCATCAACATACCTGTATTTTTACATACTAACTAAGTACTGACGTTTCCATACAATGTCATGTCATTCTCTTGTTCCCAGAAATTTACTAGAGACTTCTCTGTTCAGGAAATGGTATTACATGGTTTGGAGTTTTTTTGGGTCTAAATCGAACATTTGACAATGTTCACTTGGTTTACTTGGTCTCTTCAGAATTCTCCTTTCTAAATCATATAGTGATACACACACTTACATGCAAATATATATATATAAACACACAAGTATATGCACACACACATACACAGAGAGAAAAAAAAAAAGAAGAAATTTTATGATGAAGGGCTGTCAAGCATTGGAACAGGCTGCCCAGGGAGGTGGTGGATCCCTAGAAGTATCTAACAGATGTGTAGATGAGATGCTTAGGGACGTGGTGCAGTGGTGTGCTTGGTAGTGTCAGGTTAATGGTTGGACTCGATCTTAAATGCCTTTTATAACCCAAAGAATTCTAGGATTCTATGAATATGCTGATGAAAAAAAGTACCCAGGAGAGCAAATATAGCTGCATGTACCCACAAAAGTTTTGATGCTAGAGAAGCTCCAGCTTCCAAATTTATCATTAGCAGGAATCCTTCTGGGAAAAACAACTTCAGCACAACACCATTTATTCTAAGAAACACTTTTCAAGCTATCTTTTAAACTCTACTACCACTGGAGGTCTGTCAAACTCCTCCATGTGCTTTTCATCTGCCTGCACTACTGCACCACTGCTTTCAGGATTTGAGTACTTCACACAGCTTCCACAGTCTTAAGTCTCCTGATGTCTTGTTTACTTTTCCAATGAACTTAAAAACTGAAATACTATAGCAAGGTTGGAATAGCTTAAATTTAGACTTCAGAGATTCTCTTTAAGATTACAAAAGCATAAATTCTATTTACTCAAAATGTCTAAAAGGTAGACTGGAGGCACAGCTCAGATACTTGGAAGTCCCCCACTTTCACAGCCAGATGGCCTTTTGCATGGGCAGTGGGGATGCTGGAAGCTCCTGCTCACTCTTCTCTGATGGATACAGAAGCCAAAAGAAAGCAAGAGCTGAAGCAAATTCATATAGAAGGGTTTTAACAAGTAGAAGGACAGGAGGGGTGAAAACTTATTTATAAATAAATGGAAACATTGGTTAAACTATTTGCATTAATTTTCACTTGTGAACCTGCATGATAGGAAGCACACTTGTGTTCATTAGACAGAGACTACCAAATTATATAATTACACAGTACTCTGGAAAAATAAATCTATCATGCATATGTTATTTGTATTCCTCAAAATGATGATGTTAATTCAGCATGCTTAAACAGAGAAACACCCTCTTTTTCATATATACAAAAGAATGAAGGTAAACCTTACCTGGACACTGGATAAAAGACCACTCGTAATTTTTCTCTTTTGGACAAAGACTAGCATCAAGCATCATTTCATTAGAGTGCATGCCAACAGGCTTCATTGGGCCTCTTGATGATCCTTCCAAACATTGTCCCTTGCCAGTGTTACTGGGATCATTGCACCATCCGCACCCAGGCTGTTCCAAACACTGTCCACAGGTCCTCAGTCCAGAGCAGTTTTGAGCTTTATTACATGGAATAGAGTATTAATGCAAGAGTTGTTTTTGTATTGGGCTTTAGTTTCAGGTGATTTCTTTTTTTTTTTTTTTAATAAAATGTCTGGATTTTACAATGGTTGATGAAGAAACAATGTTGCATTTCTTTTTCCTTGTGCACATTTAAAAATTTCAGTAACATTAGTAAGTATATCTCTGTTTTCTTTAGAAATTGTACTTCAAAGATCACAAAATACACAGCAGGTGTTTCTTACCCCACAATGCAACAAAGATAATGATGCAGAGGAATAACAGTATACATGTTCATTAAATCCCATGGTAAAATAGATATTCTGTGCTTATTATCAATATATATTATGAGAGGTATATATTAATAGTTTTACCAACAGAAAAAATCCAGAATTCAAGACAAGGTCAATAATCTAAATAAGAGCAAAACCAACAATTTTTAAAATTTTATAATTCAAATTCAAAACAAAAAATTTATTTGGGATCACACCTGAGTATTCATCTACAAATACACAGAGAACTTTTAAAACAAGCTAACATACTACACATCTTTCAAAAAAAGTTTAGTTAAGCTACAAGCCATAATTTAACTGAACTATATCTTAAGACTCTTGTCTGGTAAAGTATGTTTCATTTTTTAATTTGTATGCTCACAATCAAATTTCCTTCTAGATCTATTATATTCCACTCTTTTAAAATAATTTAATTTCTCATGAAATGGTCTTCCTTATATTTTAAATCTGTTTGGAACCAGATATAATTCATATTTTGAAGTTACTGCCACTTATTAATACGAAATTTATCAGTTAGTATCTTCTGGAAGACCATTTGAATTCACAAGTTTATTTCGGCTTTTTCTGATACACCTTAATTTTTTTTTTAAATTAATGGTGTAACACTGAATCAAATTAACATCAGAATAATTTGAATGTTGGTCACTATAGGTCCCTCTCTCTTCACATTTTAACTTTGTAGACACTTAAAAAACAAATTTTAAAAGCATACATGAAATCAGAAAGATCCTACCAGGAACCCAGAAATAGTTTAAGTTTCTTTCTTTTCAAAAAGAAAATATTTTAAAGGTTTATGGGAAGTTTTTGGAGGACACTTAAATGTCTTCTCCCTGAGTGTAACCTCTCAATTTGGCTCAGCTGCAGCCTGGACACTATATCCAATTAATGCTCACAGCTACCTGGACCACTCTACCCCATAAAGGCAGTACTTGACATTCATGCTATAAAAAGTATATCAAGCCAAACAATTTCAGTCACAATTCAGTAAACTGACAGCTGAATAAAGCTAGCTACTCTGATTTCAGGAACTATTAAAATTGCTTAAAAGTAATGAAAGTTGTCAGAGAAAAAATGGTCTAAAGATACATGCAGATATCAAGAAAACAGGCAGTTAAAAATCTGCCTCAAAAGATCTCAAAAGGACTTTTACAGTGCAGAAAGCTGGAGCATGAGCTCTTGTATATTAGGCATGGAAGAATCTGAATAGGAGGAAATGTTTCAAATTTCCCAAACTCAACTGTTCTTGGAAATCAATGTCAATCATGTGACAAATCAGTTTTAAAAGAGACCTCATCAGATCTGAAGCTGAATGATACAAATTTTAGGGTTTTGAATACATTAGAAGATCAGCAGAAAAATAAAGACCACCATTCTGTAGTGGCTGGCTTGCCCTTTCAGAGATGCACTGGAAATAACCCAAACAATTCTCATGCTGCTATTTATAAAGCTAGAAGAAAAGAGCTCTGAAATATCAGCTGCACTGTCTGCATGAAAGATAAAACAGAATCAAAAGTTAAAATCCTCAGATATTCTCCTTAATGGCATTCCTCTGAAAAGCAGAATAGAGCTAACTAAGAAGCTATTGTTTATAGAAGGTGATACTCAAGCAGAATTTTTTTTTTTTTAAATTCTAGAAGTGGTCCAAGATTGTTCAGCTGTCAGCTATTCAATCAGATGTCATAATGGATGGAAGATGTGGGGAACAGTGGAATGCAACTTTTTGGCAAGCAAGTATTAAAAATGACAAAATGTCACCAATAAAATATTCTTTATTTTAATTCCAAGTTGTGAAGATAAATGCAGAGTCCCTGGTTGTTATGTTTTTCTTTTAAATCATATATCTTCATGTGTTTTTTTTTTTATTCAGACCAAAACATCTACAACCTCAGACATCTGTCATTCAGAATAACAATTTTTTTTTTAAATAGCATTTTTCTTTAAAGGTATAGTTACATTCCATTTTTTAATCAGATAGAAACATTACTTCTTGATAAGGGAATCCTCCTAATACTTCATTACCTCAGCAGCAATAATGATATATCTACCTAATAAAAATTTCAAGTAATTTAGACTGAAACAATGTTGGAAGCATGTTTCATTATGACATGCATTGGTTTGCTTAAATGCAAAATGTCTAATGCTTTAAAACTCTGGGAAAAAAATACTTAGGGACATATGATCTTGGGTTTTTTTAATTTATTGAATAGAAAATATATTTTCATATAAATGCCTTTACATAATGATGAACTGGTATATAGCAAAACATATTTGCTTCATATAATGTAAACTTTTACAAACCTGACAAAAATTGCAATTAAATTGAAAACAGTTTCTTGTGTCTCCCAAACAAATTCCATAAGTATAATGTGCAACTATTACACAAATCTAAAAGGAGAATGAAAAGTTCAGGTTGACATAATATATGCTATTTTTAAAAGCTAGCCATTATTCATGTGGTGTGCTGTCTATTTTATCTCCAAATTTTCAATCTACTTTTCTTCTACCACAACTCATTATCAGTATTTTATAAGCTGCAAAACTGAATCCTTAAAGAAGTGAAGAAAAGTTTTGTGAACTTTTTTGAGAGAGAAACCTTAATTATAGTATTATTATTCCAAATACATAAGACAAGAGATTAAGTGTCCCTATGGCTGACAGATGGTGTTAGAGGACATTCAGACCCAAGTAACATGTAAATCCTGCTTCTAGACAAAACTGTACTTGAACACTAGAACTTGGATTAATATATGAAATTTACTAAGCCTAAAAGTTTATCAGAACAGGTCAACATTGTAGTGGTTCACTATATTCCACAATTACTAAGGATGAAGATGAAGACAGAATCTCAGTTAAGATGAAGACAGGCTCTCAGCCAGTTTTATCTGAAAGAAAACTTTTCTTATGCCTTATTTTCCTTTAACCCAGATATAAGTACATATAGCCTTTCTTGACTCCCAAGATTAGGATATATCAATGCTTCCTATTACAGATATGGCAGGACCTGACTTCTCTTGCTATTTTCCTGAGGTTTAGGTGAAAGCAAGTAATGACCTTCTCTATTTTTTGTATTTGTATCCATAATCTATTAAATCGAATCACAATCAGATTATGACCTTGAAACAAGTTGCTTCATGTTGACATGATCAATCCTGCCACTAACATATCCAAAAAAGGTGCTGGCATCAAAAGACCCTTATGAAGAGGGAAACAAAGTTGGAGGTAAGTAGCAAAACACAGAGAGGAGCAATAATGAGAGTTCAGTGGTACACTTCAGAAGTCCTATATATTAAGTTTGGGTCCCACTGGATTGAAGTCCTTCACAGGCAGAAAATATTTTCATCAAATCTTCAAGGACTGTAAAAATACTAAGAACCAGTCTTCTATAGGATGAGAACTGCCAAATTGTTCTAAATAAACCACAACTGAGACAAGAATGTCAGGCACCAGACAGCTTGCTCCAGCATTCACAGGAATTACGGCGCTGATATACACTGCAATTACACAGTGCCGAACTCAACCAGGTCCAGTCACTACACGCATGGGAATAACGAGCTTTAGCTGAATGGGACACTGAAAGCTACATTGAGTAGGTCTCCTGTTCTCCTGGAGAGGCATTGTATCAATTTCTGATTGAACATGCTTCCAAAGGGGCTATCTGGGGAGTACCTTTGCTGCTTGACAAAGTAAGAAATCACTTTTTTTTTGTCTCGAAAGGATGGAATGAGCAAACCTGAACATTAATACAGCCTGATCCAATTTGATCACCCAGGCCAAAAGTTTTCTACACCTCCTTTAGCAGCCTGATGGCCTAACAGAATTCACTCTGTTTCCATGGGGTGGACAAACAATCTGCAAGGGTTAATAATCAGCATTTGCAAGTGAGAAAAATCTGTGAAAGACCAAGACCACTTGTTTTGTGCCTGTGTCACAATATCCTCAAGATTATTACTCATTATTATAATATTATTTTTATCTTTGAGTGCTAGGAAAATTATCATCTTTGAATCCAACAAAATAAATCTGAATCCTAAAGACTATGAATTCAGCTCACTTTCTTTTTTTCATAACTTTATGTTGTATAATTTTAAGTTCTACATATTATTTGTGTAATTTTAGCATTATTCTGTTCCAACTCATGGCCATTGTTTGACACACTAACACTGATCGTACAATCATAGTATTTTTCCTCTATCGGAAAACAACAAGCACTTTTTACTATTTCAAAAGACTAAATATGTTTCACCATAAAATAATTGCCAGGATTTTATCTGTATTTAGAAAATGCATACACGGTATTGACTGCTTACATAGCAGCTATATAAGGTCATCCATTTGAAATTGTTTTTATCTTTAGTGAATGTGCCAAATCCTATTTATATAGATGTCCTTTTCAGTGGGAAAAAACACAACAGTATATTTAATAGGTCGACTGCTCATTAAGATACTCACGGGAGCATGTGGCAGTTTGCCATTCCAGGCACTGTCCATATGGGAAGGAGATGATATAGGCGTTTGAGTCAACACATCTCTTCGTACTGCTGCACCACATACATTCCATACCATTGCTCGTGCAGTTAGAACACGTTGTTCTCAGGGAGCATGGCTTTTTGCAGGGTCTGGCATTCTGGTTAGGACTGACTGGAAAAGAACCACAAACGTTTACATTTTTGAGCATAAGTTCCATCTCCTTTTTCTTTAATCATATCTTCAATTAGAAAAATCCTTGCTAAAGTGAAAAAGGTTACTTCCTTATTTAGCTATAAATAATTGCATCCAAACTTACGTGGCATTATAAAGGTACAATAATATATTTTAAAAATTAATACTCAGTATGAATCATACTATAGCTTTACAAGTCCATTTAAAAATTTTCACAGCAATTTTATCTATATAGTGAAATAACTTTAATATTCTGGTAATGTCAGCTTAGTTATTTGCACATACATGACAAAATACATCTCAAAATTTCTTAATAAGTACAGTAGTTTTCTGGGTCTATTGTTCTCTTTAGTTTAACAGTGACAATACACAACAAATACTCTACTTATGGCTTACTTATCCCTAAATTTTTGCCTTATATTGTACAAATGAAAGTCACTAAAATCCAAAGGGAAAGTAACAAAAGGAACGTTTTCCAATGCAAAACAGATTTGGGGTTTTTGTTTGTTTGTTTGTTTTGGTCAGTTGGGATGTTTTAGGTTTTGGGTCGGTTTGCTTTTCTCTCCTAGAGACCATATTCTGACTAGGTTAAAGGTGTATGTTATCTCTAAATGCCCTATCTCCTGATTTTTACTTTGATTTCAAATAAAACTAAACTGCACAGGAACAAGAGTATAGTGATTCTTTCACAGGAACACCAAAGTGTACATAGCACAATAAGTTCCATACAAAAGTGACTTGTGAAACATCGGGATAAAGCCCTCCTATATATTGCCATGTTTTGCTATATTATTGATTCCTATTCAATACCAGTCAAGTTTGCAAGTCATTCTTATCAGCTAACAGTGCACCAAATCACTTAACCAAGGGCATTCCCGGATTTGACCTACTATGCACGTATCCAAGCTGTGGTTTGCAATTAATAAATGCAAAGAAAAAAAAACAGTAACAACAAAAAAAAAATGAACTATAAAAGTATTCTCATATGGCTAAAGAATTTTGAGTTCTACAGTCTTTGAAGTACCTTAAGATTTAAAAAAAAAAACCCTAAAGCAAGGCACAGCTAACAAATGCATAAAAAGTTGATCTAATTTTAAAATACTGCATCTTAATAATGTCATTTTGTTCCACCTAGTGTATCCTTTACATTTTGAGATGTCTCCCTTTGTGATTTTATACTTTATTATTCTGAGAAAAAATGGTAAATAATTAAATAATAGCTCAACATTAAGAACACTATGAAAGATGACATTTTTAAGAAACAGAGATGGCAGTAACAACAAGTGTACAATATATACCTTCCAACTGCATTACTACTTGGAATTCCTTATAAAAGAATTAGGGATTGGCAAGAGTGCGACTCGGTTACACAAGTGAACTCTGAGAATTTCACAGCAAAAGCATCAGACTGCTAGGTAGTGTTCCCACACACCAGCAATGGAGGTATGTCCCAGTTCTGCACAGGCAACACACAAAATACATCTGGCAGAGAAATCTAAAGAACTTTGTGTGCTCAACCTATGAAGTTGAAACTTCATAGAACAGCTATGAAGTGAAACATGGGCCAATCGGAACATGAAAATGCAAATTTTATCTGTCAGGTGACTACTTGCCATGGTAATCTTTACACACAAACAAACCTAAAAGACAGAAACAAGAATTTTGGTTTTGTTAGTCTGTTAGACCATCAAAATCTTAATTGATGTTCAGTGAGATTCAGAAAGAAAACCTCAGCCTTGTTGGACACCTGCTCAGACATTTTCATGCTACAGTCACTGTTGTCACTGGCTACTACTGATTTAGAGGCAGTTTATAAGACTTCTGGTGTAATGCAAACTAAGCCATGCAAACTAATTCACAAAGAAATATTCATTGGTTTAGGAGTATTATTTGTTTTCTACATTAAAGCTCCATATTTTTCAAAAAATAAAAAACTATTTCTTTTTTTTTATATTATTTAATCCAAATTGTCCGAAAACCCCTCTTAGCCAAATTAAAACCCAAACAGCTTGCTAACAGTGACAGTAACAGTAAATGAGTATTAGAGATTGCTTACCAACAGGTTTTTCACACACGAGACCATCTGCCATGGCCGTGCATGGATTCGCTTTCAGACCTGCCACCTCTGCTCTTTCTAGATAGGCACAGAAGCCAGAGTCATTTGGCTCTCCAGGAAGCCACTGCAGAGTTGTGTTGGTGAAAGGAGACATGTCATCCCAGCCCCAGTAGGAGATGTTGATCTTGCGTAAACCTACCCAAGGGGAAATTTTCTGTGGATCAGAACGAAACAAAAGTGAGATAATTAGTTAAAATGCTTGCGCTTTTTTGTTGTTGTTGTTGTTAAAACATTTCAAAGAACAGCTCACAGCAGCAACAACTTCATATTTTGAGAGAATTCACCATGTTATGTTCTTTTCTCACATTATCTTATCAGTCATTGTCCATACAGGCTTTATATTGATTGTTCTACCTTGCTGAACCCACTCTCCAAAAAAAACATACAAAAAAACCCTCCAGCCACCATATGTTTCTGTTCTACTAAAAATCTATGTTTCTTCTGTTCTAAGTAAATTCTGATTACTATTACTTGATAAAGAGTCAGAAACCAGGCCAAATGGTTATAATGAAATTATTTCTTTTTCTTTTTTTTTTTTCCTCCAGAGGCTACTATACTGATTACTAATTGTTGGGCCAATGTGCATAATACAATACACATAAGTTAACAGCAATTCACAGAAAACAAAGCTCAAGGAGAGAAAAAAAAAATTTAAAAAAAAAACAAAACAACAACAAAAAAAAAAAACACACACACACAGAATACATATTCCATTCTCTAAAATCTGTATTACTGACACTGATCAAAATCTCAAAATCTTTAGGCAATTCAGAGACAGCGGTGAAAGCAGCACATGTACAACTTCAATGTCATTAGGCACACATCGAATACACTTCCATTATTGATTTATAAGCTATAGAATACCTAGCCTAGAAAATGTAAAAAGCATTAATTCTCAAAAAAATATTTAGGATGTATTAGTAAAATCACATCATATTTTTGACTTATTTGTATAATTTCATCTTTGGACAATTGCCAAGAGAAAAAGCAGATTGTGAGGGTTAAAGGCCTTTGCTTTATTCCTTTGCAGGATAAATCTACATACATTTCTCGCTCCCATCACTGTAAATATATCAAGATAACAAAACCAAACTCATTATTCATGAAATCGTTGTGCAGGTAGTTTTCATTAACCCCAGTTCAAACAAAAGGAAGAGAAGTATAGAGACTACAGGCTATGACAGGCATGTGGTGGCAGGTGAATACCAGAGCACCAAACACCACAGTCGTCTGCACCAGGCAGAGGACAGATGTTGTCAGCTCCAAAGCAGAAATGTTGACCTGATTGTGAATTATGTTCTCAACTAATTTAATTTATAAGCCAAAGTAAGGAGAATACTTAGGTACCTGAAGGGAACTTGCCATGGTTCAAGATCTCTTTCACAAGTAAACCAAGAGTCACTGCCACCATCTCTAAGACCTTTCATCCTTGATCTCACATCTTTCTTTGCCCACTCATGTTTAAACCACTGCTGAAAAGTTTTTCAAAGCTTTTAAATATACAACTCATCAGAGCATTCCTCTTTTTCCCCTGCCTCATTAGACCAAACTAACATATGAAGAATTATTCATTCTGCTTCAGAAATATCAATGGTAATTACTTTTTTAAAAAATCAGTAGGTAGATAATTAGTATTCCTGACCTCCATAAAATGTAATCCCTGTGTTCTCTTCTTCATCTGTCCTACCAGTTGGGAGCATGATCAAACGAAACTGCCACAGCAACTAACAGATTTACAGATGCAAGAACAAACTTAAATAAACCAGACACTGACTAAGAAATGTTCCATTCCAAAAGCAGTGATGCACTCCAGTAGACTTGGAATGAGAACATCCAGCAGAAATGCCACCACTCATTCTTGTGTCTTACTTCTGTATTTACTTCACAACTTCATTGCTACACCAGGTGACCAACTTTTCAGGTCTCTGTGGGAGCTCCCACCTTCTGGATACTAAAAAGAACATGATGCAAGCAGTAAAAGGGGAACCTGGGCTCCTGGAAAGTGACAAATAATGCATCTGTTGTCTTGTTATTCAGTTGCCTGGATTGCTGCATATAAGCGTGCACAGCAGGCACATATGAAAAATGTCAGGGACTCAGGCAGGATAAACTGCTGACAAACACAGACCTAAAGCAATCCTAAATGGCTATTCTGGGGCTGTGGAACTCTAGCCAAGAGAACTTTCAATGTATTACTGTTTCTATTTCTCTGCCAAATAATTTGGCCTCAGCATCAGTACACAGAAAACAGAGCTCCTATTCCAGCTATGGTGAAAAGCAAGTCAGGCCAATAATGAAAACTGATGGTGCAGCAGTGACACTTGGAGAGAAACCCTTCTGTTTGAGTAGGAGTGTCTCAGAACCCCTCTAAAGATGACCAAAGTCCCAGGCAGAATCATGAACACCAGAGCAGCCTTAGGAGATAAAAGCAGCATCCCTGAAATGAAAGAAATCTTGCAAAAGCAACACATACCATAGTCATCATCATTCTTAACAACTGTAAGCATCTGGGCAACTTATAGTCATCATGTCAGATATCTCAACTTCCATATATACCATCTTAGACTCTTTGCTAGTGCAACACATCAAAATACAGACCTGAACAGCGATTAGCGTGCTATCAAATACACACCATCAAAGCTACCACCTTGCAGGTTCACTGATACTGTTAGGATGATACTGATGTTGTTAGGACACCGAAAAAAGATTAGCCAATTTTTATTTTTTTTTTTAATGTCTGATTAAAATATGGTAAACAGCTGAGAAGCAGGTCATCAAAATGCTCCAAGGATATGCTTAAATCATATGTTCAGTTATGTGGCATTAATTCCGTGATGTGGGGGACTACAGCTGAAGTCTAATGGCAATCGCAGAGACTGTATGTTGGCATCACCAAAGCTTGTCAGCAAAAAATGACTGCTGCACTGAAAGCCAACAGGAAAACACCAATAGCAATTAGAGAATTCAGAAAGTTCCACCTGTGACACCTGCAGACACTGGTGTGCTGTGACCATCAAACTAATTTCTGGGAGAAAAAAAAACCAAACTACCTATAAATCTCATCCTTATCTTTCAAACTGATGAAAGGTTCAGTTATAATAGCTGAGAATCTCAGAGTACTTGAGGCTTCTGAGGGACTTCAAAGGTGCCAAATGAGAATGCCAATCCAGTTTCTTCTTCAGGCTTAAGAAATAATGAGAGTTGAACATTCTTCACTTGAACTCTATGTTTTTTTCATTTAATGCAAAATGAATGTAGGAAACCGATTCCTTTACTTTGAATATCTTGCCAAAGACGCTTCTGAAGAGAATCAGACAGGAAGGAAACAAGACTGCCTGTTCTCTGTACACAGAACTCACTGATGTAAGATTCTAGCTTCCAGGCCTCTTGAAAAACATTTATCAAGCCAGGTGGGTGAAAAACACAGTACAAATCAACCCTTCACTTCAGAAAAACAGTTGCTGACATGATATCAGCCCCAAATATGTTTAATTTTTTCTTCTGAAAAATACCATTTTCCTTATTGGAATTTCAGCTGATCTTTGCTCAACATGTAACTGAGAAGTTCCTCCTCAGAGACTTCTGAAGACTTACTTTCTTCCTCAAGCCCTTGGTGAATGCATACTTTTTTTGCCAAAACCACAACCAAGAAACCTGTCCTTGGCATTTAGTAATTTGTTCAGATTCAGAGTTGAAGAGGAGCCTGCAATTTGATGAGGATCAGTTCCTTTTCCATTCAAGGAAGGAGGAAAATCTCCAGTATAGATGTGAATGAACATACGTGTGAACATTTACACATGCAAGAACCTGACAGTAAACAATGACATGACTATTAAAGCATCTAATGCATGCCACAATTTTCCTTAGTGCTTTAAAGTCACCCTCAGTTGTTAGAGTTGCCATTCACTGGGTCAGAAGTGAATTGGAACTCCAAAACTATGTCGCTCCTCCTGTTACAAGAATTTTCCCATAAGGTCACAAATGCATAATGATCATCATGTAGCATTGGTAAGGAGGCAACAAGGTCATCTGGTGACTGTCTAAGCTCAGCAGGAGCCACTTCAGCTCTTGCCTCCTAGCATCATCTTTTAGCAAGTCTTTGCTAGAAGCTCAAGTTTTTACCAGAGCTGCCTCCTCCCCTTCATTGCTCTAAAAAAAAACAAAAAACAAAAAAAAAAAAAAACAGGAAGAGAGCCATTTGCTGTCTCTAGGGAAGGTGTAAAAATTGCCTAATGTATCCTAAGAATGGATAATCTAGTCCAATTTGGTACTACATCTACCTTCCCTCATTTAGAATCCAAAGAAATGGTGCAGCTCCATTTTACAGCTGCTAGTACCCGGATCCATCGTTAAAATTGTGGCTATTCTGCCTTCTTGCCTCCCAATTAACAAAGCACTAGTGGGCACGCAGGGTGGAAGCAGACATTGCCATTCACAAAGACTCACAGAGCTAGAAGGGATGAAAGGATGTAAAGGGATGTCCCTTCAGATGCTATAAATACAGACAAACGTACAAACAGGCTATGAGGAAAACCTATTACTCATGTTCTATTAATATTTAGCTCTACCACTCTTCCATGAATATGGATCAAGAATACGGGCAGTATCTCCTACTTTTTGTTGACATTATAAAACCTAAAATTACTTCAATTACTTCCTAGCTGGCAGAAATTGTCGCTTTTGTGTTAATAAAGTATTTTTGCAATCAAACGGAAGAAAATGTCTTAACAGATGGAAAAATTTAGTATTTGAAAGCATGTAATATTTTTATACATTAGCTACAAAAATACTTCATTTGATGCCTTCAATTCTGTAATACTTGATCCTTATTACCTGCTACTACTGCTATTAATAAGTAATGGAAAAGCTTCTGATTTGCATAGACATAAGACTAACCATTTGCTTTGAATGATAATCTTAACTCTGAATCTCTTAACCAAGATTCTCAAGTGTATCTAGGGAATGATCCTCTATTTACACCTCTAATATTTCTAACTTTGAAATGCCATTATCTTTTTAACAAATGATTTATTATTACTTCAGGCAACAGCATTGAACATTTTTTTTCACATTTAAAATAGTTAAGAGCTAAAAGCTGGATTTCATTTATATCATGATACATCCACAAAAAGGCAGTAAAACAAATAATAGCTT